AAATGTAGATATTTATATAAAAAGTAATATGAAAAACATTATATAAATATTTACATTTTATTAGACATTCAAATGGTAAACTAGATTTTGAACTTTAAAATATATTGAACCCATAAAATGAAGGGTAATATAAAATTATAATTTTTTATTAGGATAAAATTATATTTTTTGACGGTTATATTAATAGATATCAATGAAAATAGGTTACGTGTTATACGTGCATAAATGTCATAAGATGTAGGAGTAATATTCTAAATGTGAAGAAGTCTAAATGATTAAGTGACACGTATGAGGGGATCTAGGCATAATTTATCAATTTAATTTTAGGTACACATTGATACAAATTTATATCTTTCAGGATACAAATTTTTTATCCTTGGGGTGCATATTGATATAAATTTATATATTTGAGGGTGCAAATTGAGATTTTTGATCTTTGGGAGTGCACTTTGATATAAATTTCTATCTTTGAGGGTATAAATTAAAATTTTTGATCTTTGAGGGTGCAAATTTAAATTCGAACAATCTTTCGAGGTACAAAAAGCAGGAAAATAGATTACACGTGTCGATTGACAATCAAATTAGCGTAACTGATCAACTGTGACAAAAAAAAAACAAATATAAAAAAATCAAGCGTGTACATTGCGAGAAAAAGATCGAAGCGTGTACTAGAACGTTCATCCTCTCTCTCTTTTCCTGCTCATTTAGGTTTTGACGCCCTGCGAAATTCATCTATCTCGATTAGTTTCCAGTTTCTCCGATCGTCAGGTAATCCCTTTTCAGCGTCTCTCTGCGGTTTAATCTGATGATCGTTTGTCTTTTGAATCATTTAGTAGTAATTTTTTGACAATATTTTGAGAAAAAAATATTTCTAATCTGCGAGCTTTCATGTTGCGATGTGATATTTGTTAATCTCTCCTTATTTCTTATTCACTTTCATTAGAAATTTCTTTAAGTAGATGGAATAGCCTATAGCAGATGGCAAATTTTTCGTATATATTTATTCAAGCGCTGTATACAATTGTGAATCTGATAATTGCTTCGTTTACACTTAAATAATGGAATGGATGTAATAAAACGTCTTCCGATTGTAAGTGACCGTGATCAGTTGTTGATTGGTAATTGATTTATTCTCTTCAATTCTGGATTTGGAAATTTATGTTTGACAAGAATTGGGTATGCAGTTTTTCAGGGCATTATGCCGACATGTTCTCATTACTAGAAGAATTTTGCTGCCCTAGGGTTTCCCCCTTTACCTAGTTGTCATATTATGTGTCTGAATGTATAATTTGCGGTTGTCCCAGGAAATGACTCCAGGTTAGCAGCAATTGAGGATAGATGCATGTATCAAAGGATGGACCCAAATTAGAAAAGAAACGGTTACATGCACACTTATAGAAAAAATATAAATAGTTCAATTTGTGAAGAATTTAATCTCCAAATCTCCACAAGAAATTTATCTCACATTCAACATATCAATTTCATTGATAGAAAGGTGTTTAAATACAAGATGATAAAAACTACTTTAATAACTAACTTAACTCATTGTTTCACTATTTTAGTGACCACTTAGAAAATTAACCACAAAGTACTCTATCACTAACCTTCTTACTAAAATAACTTCCTAATAATTTTTTTTAATATTACATAAAAACATATTAAAAATGTATCTATAAATTTCATTCCCCTTCCAATCAAACTTTGTCCTCAAAGATTAATTTATCATATACAAAAGGAGGTGGCCAACCTACTTCTCCATCCTCATAACAATCAATGTAATCTTTGGCTTCACATAACTTAGAGAGACCCACGATAGTGAATATGGTGGCTGGGCGTGCAAGGGCTACACAAACATTGACTCTTATAATAACATCCTTTAGTTTACTTATTGAATATCCCACCTGTTGTTGTCTCGGTAAATTTTTGCACGGTGTAAGTAAACTTGCAAGAAGTGTATGACAGTGTTTAATCGATCCCATAATCTATCCTACTTGCTTCTTGTTGGCAAAGATCCATGTAAGCACCTCATTGCTTTCCTTGAATAACTTATATTGTTGATGGCAAACATTTGATGAGGCCTTAAAATCAAGGGCAGTGTGTTGCATAACAGAGAATTGTTTGGTTGGACGAACCAAAAAGGTGGATTCTTGCATGTCTTTGTATTGATGAATATCCAAATTCGGAGTTTTGGAGGTTATGGAGCTTAATCCACTTGAAACAAAAGATGCGTGACCATTATTCCTACCTCCTCCATTGCCTTTGGTTGACCATTCACCTTCCTCATGACAGTAACTTCGGATATCTAAATTGATCAAAACGGACATCCATGATAACAAATAACTCATGCATTCCTTTCATTATCCTTTATTTGCCGACAATCAATGAGTGAACTTCCGTTTCAAGTCATCTAACTCGGTCCTCTATGCCTAACTCTGATGCCAATTGTTACGTGCACACTTTTTAAAAAAATATAAATAAAATTAAAAATAGAATATGGGAAGAAAACCCATTTCGAGGGAGGTGAAAACCTTCAATGGTTCAATTTGAAAAGAATTTAATCTCCCAAACTCTACAAGAAGTTTATCTCACATTCAATATATTTATTTCATTGATAGAAAGATCTTTAAATACAAAATGATAAAAACTACCTTAATAACTAACCTAACTCATTACTCCATTATTTTAGTGACCACTTAGAAAATTATCTACAAAATACTCATATCACTAACCCACTTACTAAAATAACTTCCACATAATTACTTTTAATATTAGATAAAAATATATTAAAAATGTGTTTATAATAGAAACAGAGATCTAATAAGTAGATGGAAAGGGAAAATCATAATGTCATAATGATAAATATCGAAAGGAGTGATATTGAATGCAGAAGCTGAAGCTAATAAAGAGGATAGATCAAATACATAGAAACTGCGTATGAAAAATTTTAAAATAGAGCTTTAGGATAGAGAGTGATTGGGCATCAACTGAGAATTGGAAGTAACTGTTGACAAGATCTCTTTGGATTATGCTTGGTAAGTCAACTATGAGGCTATATACTATGCAGTTGAGGAGACCAGTGGAATTATATTGGGGGAACATTATATCTTTATATGGTTTTTGCATTTGGGGAGGCTTATGACGAAGATCCTAAAGGTATTGTAATTTGGATTTTGGAAAGAAGTTAGGAGTAGATATTTTTTTCCATAGATTTTATGGTGGACTTGTATGATGAAGCAAATAGAGGAGAGAGAAGAGAATTCCTAATTATTGGGAGATTACCTTAAGGGTCAGTTGTAAGTCTTTATCTTTTTGCCTAGTTATGGAATTAGTTACTCATTTAAAATGAGATTTTGTTGTGTATGGTATTTGTTGAGAGCATAGATTTGATTGGAAAGATATCAAAGTTGAAGTTTGTGGAAGAAAAGTAGTACCAAAAGTGAGTGGAAACTAATTGTACATATGAAAAATGAAGACATAATAAGTAGTTCTATATTTGCAAGCTTGCTTATTCTTGAGAAGGGAAAGGTTGGGGATGAGATTACTCAAGGAATCATAGTTGAACATCTTAAATGGAGATGTGATTTTGACACTAGTCATCGGCACATACTTGTGGAATATAAAGGGCAGTTATGTAGGAAGATTGCAAGGCCAACTATACTTTTTCAAGATAGAATGTTAGGCACCAAGACATAATCTAGATAGGAGGTGTATGTGGCTGAAATGTGAATATTAAGATGGATACGTGGTTAGACAAGTTAGAATTAGAGATGAGTATTGGGTAAAGTATAAAATGGCACTAATTGAAGTTAAATGGAGAGAAAAGCAACTAAGATTGTTTAGGTTTATACAATGAAGACTAATAAGCCATGTTGTGAGCAACAGTGAAATGAGCAATAATAAGGCAAATGCTAAAGAAAAGGGAAGATCAAAATTTTTGTGGAGGTGAGGTACTTAAAACATGATATGATATCCTATAGTCGAGCCTTTTTCCTTGAGAGAACAAAATAGCGAAAAAGGATTCATTTAATTAGCTGGACATAATTCGTCATGATGCATTGTTTTAATGTCTTTTTGACTAGAACAAGTACACGATTAAAATATGTATGATCTAGCGGGGCCCCACAAAATTTGCATACATCCCCACTCTCCGTCATCCTTCCCCTTCCTTTTTTTTTTCTATTGTCATCATGCTATTTGAAAAGTTAGATAATATGAAAAGTTAGAGTGGTAAAACTATATTTTTAAAATTTTTTAAATTAGTGACTATTTTTTAAAAACTTTAAATGGGTGGTAGTTAATTAGTGGGGTTGAGGGATAGTTATATGCATATGATAGAATATAATTAGTTAAATTATGTGATAATTAAATAATTAAAAATACTAAGAAAAAAGGAAAGGGGGGGGGGGAGATTTCTCAAACCACCTCACACCTAATTTGATATATATAGTATAGATTCCCAGGAGCATTTAGTTGTATAAACCACAAATGGCTCATTTGAGTGAATTAAGAAGTAAATTTAATATATTAAAAACTATTGAGGATGCTTATATATTATTTCTGCCCTGTAAGGGGGGAGTGCCAAAAAAATGGGAAGAAAAAGTGAATGGAATATGGAATTCAAGTTGATGCTTGTAATTTATTTTGGATTCTTTTTGTTTATCATGTGGGCTTGTGGTAGTATGGAAAACTATAGTTACCTCATGGAAGTTATCTAAAGTTAATTTTTATTTGATAAGTACTATCTGATTGGAGAGTTGGTCAGTCGTCCTCGTAGAGGATTTGAATGATATGGTCGAAACATTTTCATTTCTATGTAAACCGAAACAAATTAGTTATTGAATATAAATATTCTAATGTTTCGAGGTGTTTCGGAAAGTTTTGTGTTGTTTCGGTCTGTTTGGATCAATGATTTGAAATGTTTTGGAATTTTTTTTTTTATGCGTTTTTGTTATATTTCTGAAACATTCTCAAAACATTTTTGTTTCTTAGGTGATTGAAAGAATATACCGAAACAAATTTTTTGGTCCTTGATGATGATTGATATGGTACGTGCATGCGTGAATGTATTGCCTTAGGTATTTTGATTGTGTGTCCAGGATATTGCAGTTTGTTAGCCCTCATGGTTTAGGGTTGTCTGTTTAACTTTAAAAAATTATACTTGTGACCTGTTTACATTTCTTGTTTTTATTATCCATATATCATATAAAAGATGATTGTAGGACTGTGGAATAGCGTCATGGCTTTGCGCAGCAAACTACAGTATCTGCTGACAGCTGAATATGGTTGCTATTTATTGGTTATTTTGTAAACTGCTTCCTTATATCATGCATGATTCAGATATGTGTCTGATGTGGACAATAGCTGGTAGTTCAAAATGTTGGAATTTCTGTAGCCCTAGGATTTTGCAGCTTTTAAGAATGTCATGAACATGTTTCAGGTTTAGAGCATCCAGAAAATGCAGGGAAATCGGGGAGGCAGGAATCCTTTCTTTGGTTTTAATGATCCTTTTGCTGGTTTTGGGGGTTTTGGTGGCTTTGGGGGTCAGAGAAATTTGTTGTCTGGAGTTTTTGGAGGTAGGGACCCATTTGATGACCCTTTCTTCACGCGTCCTTTTGGAGGCATGTTTGAGTCGGGCTTCTTTGGTCCCACTGGAAGTCCATTCATGGATGCACATGCATCTGGATTTCTTGAACATCAACCCTCCCAGCCAAACAGATCAAGGGGGCCAATCATTGAAGAGCTTAACTCTGATGATGAACAAGAAGGAGGGGGTGTGAAGGGGAAGAAAGATAATCCAAGCAAGCGTGGTAGGTTGAGCAAAGAACCTTATGTCGAGGATCCAGATGATGAAGCCGAAGGTGAAGTGTGTTTCCTATTTGCAACTGTTGAGACATTTCATTTCTGTCTCTGCTTGTTAAAGAGTTTGGTCTTGTGGTTTTGCAGAGCGAAAGAGTAAACAAATGCAGTACAGAAATGTCTTCAACAGCTTAAACAATGCACACACACAGCCCCAATCTCACAGCTTCACCTTTCAGAGTTCCACTGTCACTTACGGCGGTGCCAACGGTGCCTATTATACTTCATCTACAACAAGGAGGACAGGGAGTGATGGAGTAAGTTACCTGTGTGAATAAGTTATGATTTTTTGGGTTTGTTCTGTTTCTCATATCATATTTATATGGATTTCAGTTGACAATGGAAGAAAGTAAAGAAGCTGATTCAGCTACTGCCCAAGCAACTCATAGGGTATCGCGTGGAATTCACGATAAGGTATTTGTTTGATCATTTGGTGTTCTTAATTATGCAATATCCTATCTATATGCGCTAGAGACATGGATCTGCTTTTTACATGTATTTGTGTGAATGATATTGTTTGTCTTGCTGTAGGGACATTCTCTTACAAGGAAACTAAATTCAGATGGTAGGGTGGACACAATGCAGACCCTGCACAATCTTAATGAAGGTATTTTTGTATTGTATCTTGCCATGTTTAAACAAGGATGCTTTGACAGATCGGGAAAGAAAAAGGAGCATGCTGTGGATAGTAGTGATTAAGTACATGCAGTGCATTTGTTTTATTTCTCAGATGAACTCGCTGGTTTTGAAAAATCTTGGAAAGGGAAAGCAAGAAAGCATCTGCCTGGTTGGAGTGAGGGGTTTAATCCGCATGATGGTATGGAGAAAAATTTTTTTGCTGCTTTCACATTTTGTAGTGTTGTTATTTGTCTTCGAGTTTGGGAGTTGTCAAATGTTGTTATCTGTGATTGTCAAATGTTATGAATCACATCATATGCACCGGAAAATTTGGGAATTGGGGATGGGATAACCCAATTTTTTTTTTTTGCTTTAGTTAAGATGGGGAAGCCCGTATACCTGCAGCAAAAAAAAAAAAAAAAAAAAAAGGGTTTATCCCCTGTCCATATCTTCCAGCACTAGGCTATGATGAAGTTGGTATCGGGTTTTTGCCTTGAGCCCTTGGCTGTCTGTGATGGGGAAGCCCGTATACCTGCAGCAAAACAAAAAAAAAAAAAAAAGGGTTTATCCCCTGTCCATATCTTCCAGCACTATGCTATGGTGAAGTTGGTATCGGGTTTTTGCCTTGAGCCCTTGGGCTGTCTCTGATTTTCCAGTTGACATTAGGACTAACTTACCCTTACGCCCACCTAAAGCAGAAAAAAAGAAAAAGTACTTTGGAATAGATAGATTGCATTGGAAATATCATGAAATTTTGGGTCACATTCTTGATTCTTGTAGGAAGACCGTTTGCTTAAGCAGTAATGGCTCACCTGTAAACGTGATGTTGTATGACATTGGACTTTTATATTCAATCTCTTTACACATAATTCACAGGGAGGGGGATATGTAGCCTACTGATTGAAGGATGGCAGCTAAATTTAGCTGCATGAATTCAAAAGGTTTCTTGTGCAGTTTCAGTGTTATAACTGAGAAAGTTAATAATTTACTTCTGCGTTGGTGTTGTTTGCGGGTTGGACTGCAACCATTGGATGCTTTTAGGTGTTTTATATGAGCGATACTAATTGGCTGCATCTTCTTTTCTGCCATTTCTGTTTTAGGATATGGTAGCAGTGCTCAGAAAGGTGGTTGGGCACTTCCCTCAACTGAAAACCTGCACCCACATTACACTGGGAGCATGAAACCAGACATGGTAGGCTCTTCTCACTCGCAACCCTTGGGAAGTGTGAAGGCAGCTGTTGGAGATAAAGGTGGTTGGGCACTTCCCTCAACTGAAAGCCCGCACCCACATTACACTGGGAGCATGAAACCAGACATGGCAGGCTCTTCTCATTCGCAACCCTTGGAAAGGGTGAAGGCAGCTGTTGGAGATAGGACAAGTTCTTCTCGGGGTAGACCAAGAGCAGCTACCAGTAACGTGGATCAAGCTAGGAGGCATTAAGAACCTCAGTTTGCTCTGCCTTTTCCATCTTTTTCATCTCTCTGAATATTAAGTGTGGAATTAACAGTTTCTGTATGTTCTATATCTCTATGCTGTTGGCTGGATATTGAATACATGCCACTCATGTTAGGGCTCGCAAACTTGGAGGGGGGTCTTTGTTTTGTGTCATGGCCATCATATTTGAGCTTGCCTTGTCGCAAATTGAGCTTGGTGGTTGCACGTGTACTATTGTATGCACAGTCGTGATTGTCTGCTTTGAGGCTCATGGAGATAGCTACGTCTTTTGCATTATATAATAGAGTTGAATTTGAAACTGTCTGTGGAAAGATATGCTGCTAGTGATGTAGTTTGTAGTTACGTTGTTAATGTAATCGTAGACTGGCTTTTAACTATACTGAGGAGTAATCTGAAGGGTACATGCAAATCAAAAAAGGTTTAATATTCTTGGTATTTTAAAGCAGTTTTGTGTATCGGTAAGATTATAGTAACGAAAAGTATCTGGGCTAGTAAAAGTATATTTTGGTTAATTTGGGCTGCTCCCGATATTTTATAGAATTCCATCACTGGATGATAGTTAATTCCTAAATGATTCAAAGATTTTATAGAGTACTATTTTTTTTTTATATTTTTAAATGACCAAAAAAGAGAGGGGCAAAAAAAAAACTCAATGATTTTAGTTTACAAGATTTGTCATTTAATCATTCAGATGTTATAATATTTGAAATACTATATACAGGTCCCTTGAGGTATATGTGTAACACTTAGATCTGTATAGTTAATATTGGTTAATATAAACGTTAATAAAGTACACTCAAATGCTCTAAAGTTTATAGACGTATAATATTTAAATCTCTTAAGTTTAAAATGTTATACTTAGATGTGCGTGTAGGATTTTGCACAATATAAACACGAGAACATATCTCTTCCGTGGTGAACTCGAGTCAGTCAATCGAATGGTTAGCCTTATTGGACCGCTCCGTTGATCCACGAAAGTTACTCATTACCGTTCCAGGCCACCACCGGACCTCACAGTCTATTCCAAGCAATAAGGTTGACCATTCGATTGACTGACTCGAGTTCACTATGGGAGAGATCTGTTCTCGTGTTTATATTGTACAAGATCTTGCACGCACATTAGAGTAAAAGTTATTCTAATCAGAAATAAAATATCAAATATTTTAAATTTTACAATTAAAATTTATGTTCTATTGTATCATTTATTGAAATAAAATTAAAAACAAAAATCTATTTTTTTCTGAAAAAAATCCTAATTAATATACAATAAAACAAAAAAAATCAAACAACGGGTTTAAGTCATTTATAATAGAAAATGAAGTTTATAACCAAAATTTATGTTTTATTATGTCATTTATCGAAGTAAAATTAAAAATAAAAATCTATTTTTAAAAAAAATCATAATTAGTATAAAATTATATTATCTATTGGAATAAAACTAAAAAATTAAATACGGGTATAAGGGTCAAACTATAATGGACGTAATATCTTTTAACTTTTATTGGGGTAATTTGGTCGTTTAAATGACCAAATTAAATTTTAATAGATAGTATAATTGTATATAATTACAATTTTTTTTAAAAAAAAATAGATTTTTATTTTTGGTTTTATTTCAATAAATAATACCATAGAAGATAAATTTTGATTTTAAAAATTAAAATATTTTATATTTTATATTAGATTTGAATATTTTTTTTGTCTGATTATAATATTTTAAATTCAAGAGATTTAAGTATTATACGCCCACAAATTTTAAGGAGTCTGAGTATAATTTATTAACGGATATATTAATGAACATTGACGGCAGGGGTTTAAGTGTCACACATTTTCAAACTTCAGAGGTTCTATGTATAATATTTCAAATGTCAAGGAATATAAGTGATAAGTGATAAATTTTAGGGAGTCTAAGAGTGTGTTTGGTATTACTTAAAAAAAAGTGTTTTTGTGACTTTTAACTTTTGAAAAATAGTTTTTTTTTAAAAAGTAGTGTTTGGTTTAACTTGTTACAAACACTTTTTGATAAGTAAAAATAATTTGAGTACTTATATAAGTTAATAAAAAAAAAATAATTAGCTTTTACTTTTAAAAATCACTTCCCATTTTTCACTCCTCACTTCCTCGATACCTCCCTGCCAGTCCCGATTCCTCTCTGCTAGAAGCTTCATGTAGCCACTTTCTCTCTTGACGCCGGTGCTGATACTTTAATCTCGATGCTGACGCCGACGCCAGCAATGTAGTCTCTCATTTCGCCGACACTACCTTCTCTCTTGCCAACGACACCGGAGCTGTATTCTCTATCACCGATCTTTGTTGTATGCTTGTCTAACCAAATCCCTTCAAACAAGGTACAATATCTTCTTAACTAATTTTATATTATTTGTTGCAACGATTTGTTTATAATTTGTTGTGGGTTGATGAATTTTGGTCTGTGATTTTTTTTTTTTTTGATGATGAAATTTCTGGAGATCTGCACGGGATAGATCCTGTAATCTCGTAAGGTAGCGACCCCTTGACTGACAAACCTGAAAAAACAAGGTTAGAAGAAAGGGGGTCAGGCGTGAGCCCAGCCAATCCCCATCCGAAGCTTAAGTCAATAAGATCAAAGAGATGTTTCTTAGTCAATGAGCTATGGTTTGATTTTGCGTACATTTGTCCATTTTTCTGAGGGATATTTATACTTGAATTAACAATGATTGTTCTAGATCTTCAGTCTCATCTGGACATCTCACATCTGACACACCATCCCTCGTGCTGTGAGTGCTTCCCCTTTACGCCTCCTCTAATTGAATGCTCGGGGAATGGTATAAGTGCTCGGCCGCAAGCCGAACATTTATACTACGAGCCGAGCAGCCCAATCCAAGAGGTCGGCGTCTGACACCGACAGGGCACAGACTACTCGGTGGATCAGAGAACTTGGGAGAACCAATCACGTTGTTTCAGCACATCAGTCATTAATGCTCCAGTCATCATGACAGTAGACATAGACTTGCAGAGAGCAGTTGGTGGCAGCCTCGCATTTATTTGTCTTGTCATTATCACTCATCTCGCTATAAATGCGATGTCACATCGCTTTGACTATGATGTCAGCTGTTGTACTCGGCCGCTTTGTGTCACCATATCTCGGCTCACCCCCTCGGCATCTTCCAGGCATCCTAATGACTTTATTGGGCCACATGTCACCCTGGGAGTTGAGGATCCACACAAGAGTCCCGCCAAGATCTTAGAAAAATTTTGGGCAAACTGTTTTTTATTTTTTTGATCCATGATTACTAAGAAAATCACTATATTATTTTACTTCCACAATTCATTGCTCTTTCTCACATTTAATTTTTAGCAAAACTGGCCAGTTTGATTGAATGCCCACCAACTATTTGATAAAATGACTTACATGTGGTCTGGATTTTTTCTTATGCTTGGGGCTGTTAGTTTTCTTGTGTTGCAATGAATTGTAAATATAGGAATATATTATCTCTGTTCTGAATGATGCAATCTGTGTAGATTAAACCTCCGGTGCAATGAATTGTTTTGGGTGACTATGAGTGGAAGACCAAGACTATTGAAATTATGATCTCTTGAAGTAACTTTTATGACCTTTCCGTTTGAATTACTCGAATTGCTTGAGGTTCTAGAACTTTTAGTGAATGAAAAAATGGATTAACAAGAATAAGAACCAAAATGCAGGGGAAAGTCAGCCCTTTGAAGATGTAAAAGAGTGACTGTGATGGAAAATTGCAGATGTTGAACATGCAACGTGTGTTTTGAATTTTGACAAAATTGACTGTTGCGTTCTACTCTGATTTTTTCATATTCAATGGTCATTTGGTCTAGTGTCTTCTTCAACCTTCATGTTTAGCAAAGCCCACTGGCATAATAGTTCCATCTAGATAAACACTTCCATCATCGAACAAGCATGGCTTTGTTGCAGCCCTGGCCAAGAGAGTATAGAAAGAGAGAAACAAAACAATACTAAAAGCCAACCTGTTTTAGGATACAATGAACTGTATGTGGCTATGTTGGTCTTGCCTCTAAGCCTTGTGGATTCAAGCATTCTTTACCATCATGTAGATCTAACTCCAGCACCACTTTTTGCAACAATAAAGCCCAATAACAATATGTGTCAAGTCAAGAGAAGCTAGCTATATTTTTAATCATTGTTGGTCGCAATGAGCGAAATAGAATGATGCAAGAGCGATTTCAACATTCTAGGGAGACAATAAGTCGACATTTCAACGATGTTTTATTAGGGATGACCAAACTTTCAATGAAAATTATCAAGCCTCATCAAAATTTCAATTGCATCCCTCAAGAGATTAGATTGAATCCTAAATACTATCCATATTTCAAAGATTGTATTGGGGCAATTGATGGAACACATGTTAGTGCTCATGTTCCTACTTCAAAACAAATTCCTTTTAGAGGTAGGAAGATAGTGTGCACGCAGACTGTCTTGGCAGCATGTTCTTTTAACATGGTTTTCATATTTGTCAATGCTGGGTGGGAAGAAGTGGCTCATGACTCTATAGAGCTATTACATTGCATTCATAACAGACATTTAAACTTTTCAAAATCACCTCCAGGTATGAGTAAAGAATGCGTTGATTAATTTTTTTTGCATTCTTAACTACATAGAATATCTAATGATTTTGTTGTTTTTTCAGGAAAATATTATGTGGTAAATGCTGGCTTCCCTAATATGGATGGTTATCTTACTCCTTATGAGGAAACGAGATATCATCTACCTGAATTTCGTAGAGGGAGAAGACCTCACGGAAAGGAGGAGTTGTTCAATCATGCACATTCTTTATTAAGGAATGTGATTGAACGATGTTTTGGAGTATTAAAGAAAAGATTTTCAATTTTACAGCAAATGCCTAGTTTTGACTTCACTGAACAAATGTTTATTATTGTTGCTTGCATGACTTGCCACAATTACATAAGGCTGCATGGCATCAGAGACGTATTATTTGCAAGGTATGCTAATGACGACGTGGAGTTAAAGGAGGAAGACAATGTAAACCAAACAACTTTTGAAGAGGATATTGATTTGTCAGATACAAATCCAATGTATAGGAAGAGAGAACACATTGCTTCAGCAATTCTAAGGGACAATCAAGCATGATTTTTGATTGTATTTACTATTAACATGTGTTTTGCGACTTTAGTATGTCATTTGGATAGTTGGATTATGTAGTTTTTTCGTATGATATATTTATTAATATGATATTTTTGTGTATTATTATATGTGTAGTATATGTTTGTATATGTGCATTCAATGCTATTAACAATTGGAATACAAATAAGTGTTTTCACATCCAAACGTGCTTTTTATAAAATACATTAATTTAAGTATTTTAAATTTTGAGTATCCAAACAATACTTATTTAATAAAAGTGTTTTTTTTTATAAACACTTTTGATAAACATTTATTAAAAAAGTACTTTTTGAATTTCATAAGTCATC